TGTATACCACATGGCATGTGTGCACCACAAAGCTTGTGTACGGTTTTTTTTGTGCGGAATGTAAACCACGCGCCGTGGGGGCGCGCGGGGCGGCGGCAGCCTAGGGAATACAGGAAGCAGGAGCTCCCTGCACAGGCACAAGGCCCTTGAGACATGGGTCGACGGCTGGAGCGTGCACGCGGGTGCGTCGTCGTCGTCGCCGTCAGTTGCGACGGCGACCGGGGGGGCGACGGCGGCGGCGGCGGCGACACGGGCGGCGGCGACGGCGACCGCGACGACGACGACGACGACGGCGGCGGCGACGGCGACGACGCCGACGGCGGCAAGCGGCGGCGGCGGCGGTGAAGGTGACAGCCGCCGCCGTCACCGCCGTCGTCGTCGCCGCCGATGCCGCCGTCGCCGTCGCCGCCGCCGCCGTGTCCGCAGCCAGTTGCCGAAAGCTTCAGCAGCGCTTGGGGCCCACTTGCTGGATACACATGCGGTGGGCTGGCGTGACCAGCCGCGCGAGGTAGGAGGGCCGAGCGCTGGAAGGACATGCGGCCACATCCGCGTGCAGGTCTCGCCCAGTCCAGCCCTTTGCACCAGCACAAGGAGAATGGAGGGAGGACAATGGTAGTAGTCATAATGATATTGTGAGAGTGCACCGGCTGGTTGCGCCATCCTCCTCGTCCTCCTCGTCCTCCTCATCCTCCTCCTCCTCCTCATCCTCCCTCTGCCTCGCCCCCCCCTCCCCCCAGGAGGTGAGAGGAGGTGGAGGGCACGAGCAGTGGAGGGAGTGCAGAAGCAAGGCAAAGGAGGTGGAGGGACCAGGCCGGAACCCGTTGAAAGGTTCGCGCCGAGGGATGCGAACCTCGAACCTCGAGGATCGAGGCATCCTGGCCCTCGAGGGCCTTCGTCGTCGCCGCGGCTGGACGCGGCTCGGGAAACTGGTGCGTCTGAGCCCCAGTCGGGCCCCGTGGACCCATTTTGAGTTTGCGCCGAGGTTCGAATCTCGAACCTCGAACCTCGAACCTGAGCACACATGTGAGCGTCACAGCATGCCTGCCTGGACGGAGGGGGGGTCCGCACCCCCGTCCCCGTACGCTCGTTACCGTTACGGGGGGGAGGGGGAACCCCCCCCGTAACGGGCGTTACGGGTCCGAGAAATAAAAAAAAACGCTCCAGGCCAGGCTTGCTGCGCGTCGCGGGTCCAGGAGCTCAAGACGGCTTTCAATTTCAGGGCGTGGGATGATACGGAGAATGGCACACTCAGCTTGAAAGGAGATGGAGCTAAAGACTTCTGTGGGGTGGGTGGCAACCAGCTCAGCCGACGACCGGACGGAGACTACCAAGTGAGCTGTGGAGCCTACATCAAGACGCTGAAGCCCATCGCGATCACGAAGAAACGAGCGAGCGACCACAACTTGGTCATCACCGAAGGTGAGCACCGGCAGTTACGAGAAGTCATGGGTAGCCTGGCGTGGCCAAGCAACCAGCCGGCGCCGCACGTGCAGTGCAGCGTCAGCCTCGGCCAGGGCACGATCAACGAGAACGCCATCGTGCAGGACCTCGTGGAGGCTAACAAGACGCTCAGATTCGCGAGCGCCAACAGCGACGTGTGCCAGCTCTTCCCCAAGATGTACAACGACCCCGACGAGGTGGCGTTCGTGTGCATGACGGACGCGACGTGGGCGGTCTGGAGGGACGGCAGCTCACAAGGCGGCTACCTGATGCTGGCAGCGCACAAGGACGTGCTCAACAGCAAGACCGTCGAGTTCGTGCAGTACGTGGTGGTGGACTGGCGCTCGTGGAGGCTTCCGAGGGTCAGCAGGTCCTCGGGGTGGACGCGCTGGAGTATGTGAAGGTGCACTAAAGCCTGATGCTCGACCCGAGCCAGGACCCGATGTTCAACGGCACCATGCAGGTGCTGGGCTGGAGCGCGCTCGTGGTGGACGCCGAGGCTCTCTACGACGCCGCGCAGAAGCCCCACGTGGGCAACTTCGACGGCAAGAGGACGGGCATCGAGGTGCAGGTGCTGAAGGAGCGCATGACGGCGAGTGCTACAGGCTGGCGCTGGGTCAGCTCGGAGCGACAGTTCGCAGATGGTTTTACGAAGTTGGCGGCTCGACAGTTACTGGCAGATCGACTTAGGACTGGAACAATAAGCCTGACATTCAACGACAAGTTCCAGGCAACCAAGAAGACGGCCAAGGACCGACAGGCTGAGGCCCAGCGGCTCGCAACTTCGAGACCAAGCCGGACAGCAGCAGCAGCAGCAGCAGCAGCAGCAGCAGCATCTCTGGCGGTGTTTACCGAGACGGCCAAGGCCAGCGAGGTGACAGCCTACACGGTGAAGGAGGACATCGGCATGGTGAGTTTTGTGTGGCAGGACAGCCCGAATATCGTGATCAACATACCACTCTGGACGGTGATGAAGATGATGGTGACATTATCTGAGGTGATCGTGATCGTGGTTGGAGCGTGCTGGAGCAAGTGCCGTGACAAGGCACAGGAGGTGCAGGTCAATCCAGGACCTCTCCCTTACACAACGGCCGAGACCTAGAAGAAGAAGACGAGGAAGACCTACTGCGACACGGGTGTGATTGGCCGGGTGACATACAGTGGAGTTGGACAGCCAAGCGGATCGAGATACTACCACCAGACCCATGCAGGGTTTCGTGCAGGCCTACGAGGTGGCCCACGAGTACTGGCA